CTTGCTCTTTCTTGTACTGATGATCATACCCTTCCTGAAGAGCTCTTCGTTCCATTCGTCAATTGACTGCTGTGATTTTTCCCCGGAATCCGCAATTAGGACAATATCATCCGCATATAGGAGAAACTGAATCACAACTGGAAGGAGATTCCTTCACTCCAGAAATGTCCTTTCTGTTTGTATTTTGCAGATTGCAGCTATTTCAAACACGTATAATGTGAATAGCAACGGGCTTAAACTATCATCTTTTTTTACACCTCTAGCTATGCTAAAATAGCCAGATTCCTGTCCATTCAGTCTGACTATTCCTTTTGGATTTTGGTATATGGATTTAATGACCTCAACCAGCCTTCTAGGAACATTATTAGCTGTTAGTGTTTCCCATATTTCGTTTCTTGGTACCAAATCAAATGATGCTTCAAGACCAACAAAGGCAAAGTACATATTTTATCATTATCCCATGATTATATTCCTGAGGATGAATATATGGTCCTGTGTCTGAATTCCTGGTCTGAAACCATCTTGCTGGTTCCACTAGAGGTCTCAGTCTATTGTGCAGGACAGATGCATATAATTTGTATATCTCTGGATACAGGCATATGGGTCTGTAGTTGGAGCATTCAGCCTGGTTGCCTTTTTTATGTATGAGTATTATGACATTATATTCCCATTCTGTAGGGATCCTTTTCTTGTCCCAGGCTTTTTGAAAAAGTATTTGGAGAACAACATGCTTATTGAGAATTCGTATTTTCCTCACAAGTCAGTGGACAAAATTATAGAGTCATTGGCTATTTTATATATGGCCGAGACATTGGAAAGTTTTTCTCAGATGTAAAGGTTATTAGAGGAGCGGGGATACAGAGATACAATAGAGGTAAAAAAGCTTCAGGATCCTCAGATAAGACAGAGGTATAAAGATAAATTGAAGAGAAAACTTCAGGAATTGGATGTGGACGCTAGCTTGGAATATGTTTAGAAACAAAAAAGGACAGTATTCTGGAATCGGCAACATTGGTCTGCGGAGTCAAGGGAATACTTACAAAAGATAAACGTGCTGCATGGTGGAGCAATGAATTAAAATCACCGGTCAAGGAAAAGAAAATAGCCTGGAAGAATTATTGCAGGGACAAAACCACAGAAAAATGGCAGTCTTGTGTATTAGCAAGAAATATGACTAAGGAGCCCTTAAAAACACCAAAGAAGAGGTCATGGAAAGAAGTTGGCGAGAGATTGAACCAGGATCACAGTGAAAACATAAAACTATTTTGGAAAAAAATCAAAGCATTGAAAGGCCGAACATGCATAGGAATAAGAAATTAAGATTGAGTAAGGAGAAATGGTCTCAGAGGACAAAAGCATTATATGGAGGTATGGATGAAACACTATAAAAAACAATTCATAAGTGAACATATGTAACCTGTGAACAGTCAGGTGGCGCACTGTAATGAGGCTGACTTCGATGAGGTCGAGCTAGCTATTGAAAAGATAAAAACAGGAAAAGCTCCAGGACGTGATAATTTAGTTGGAGAGTTTGTTAAGTATGGTTGGATGGAGTTAGTGAAGTCTATCCAGATACTTTTTATTATAAAACTAATTTAAGTATATCAAAAATTAAAAACTCACCCGACTTCATAAAATTAAAAAGTATATTGTAAAATGAAAAAAAAAAATCATGTTTGAATACAAATACACTTCTTATATAATCCAATAAAAACTAAAAATAATGAAGTTCCTTGGAAAGAAGCAATACATATAGTAATTGTTTAAAACTTTTGAATTTGTACAATTTAGTATTTTCATGGTCTTTTATTTTAAACTAATTACTGAAGGCATTGTGAAGTAGCAACTACATCACCCAGTTTTTAGGCTGCAATCAGCTGCTGACCCTCCAGATTAGGGGGGGGGGAACTCGTGACTCTCAAAAAGTACACAATAAACAGCATATTCAAGCATCCCACATTACATAGGTCAACTATAATGGTGTGGAAAAGAGTTGAAACCTGAAACACACGTGGCCCGATTGGAAAGGGGTGTGAACTAGTGGAAGAAATAAAGAAATAAGAGATTGGCATCTTTGAGATTACTGATGAGATAAAGAAGAAAGGCAAGGATGAAATTAAATTATAATACTTCACTCTTTTGTTCTCGGGTGTCAGTGAAAAAGAGGGTGGCCAGCCATTGGAGTGGGATTAACGTTCCATAATGAGCTTAACTTGTCTGTCAGGAGATTGAAACATGTGAATGATATGATAAAGGTTCTAGATATTCTGAAGATTCCTGGAAGGTGAGAAAATCCATTCACTTATATCAGCATGTAGTTCTAATTATAATGCTAGACAGGATGAAAAAGAAAAGTTCTTCAATGACTTGCAAATGTAAGTTGATGATTACAAAGGCACCCCAATCATTTTTGGAGATTTAAATGGCAGAATAGGCTGTGAGAAGTAAAATTGGGATGGAACCACAGGAAAGTTCTGTGAAAGCAGCAACAACAATAACGGAGAAAAATTCTGAGTTTTTGTGTTGTAAATGCATTGAGAATCAAGAAAATTCTCTTTCCACATAGAGAAATCCAGAGATTTACCAGAGAGGAGACAGGAAGAAATGAAAGATCTATAATAGATTATTTTCTGATAAGAAAAGAAAAGGTTGGTGAAGTAATGGATGAAAGGGTCAAAAGAGGAAACAAGATTGGAAACGATCACAATCATGTATAGGTCATCGATCATAATGATGGAAGGAGTATGAATGAAGATACTCCTTGAAAAAGGCATGAGAATAGAAAGACAGCCTCACTGAGTGATGAGAATATTAAGCCTGAGAGGAGAGAACTCAAAACAGGTGAAGAATTTTGAATATATAGGTGCTTGGATCAAAAAAGCAGCTATATCAATGGAGAGGTGTTGCAAAAACTAGGAGCAGCTGGAAGAATATACTACTCAATCCAGAAAGGTTTCCTTAACAGAAGAGAGATGAGAAAGAAAACAAAGCTATCCATGTACAGGTCAATATTCTTGCCCATCTTTTATTACTCCTCAGAGTCATGGATCCTTACCTCTAAACACAAAGTGCAGATCCAGCCAATAGAAACGAGGTACCAGAGAAAGGTTGAACAGACCAGGAGAAACAGGATCCACAACACAACAATAATGTCAAACCTCGAGTACAGTCGATAGATACCACTATAGAACAGAATAAACTAAGATGGTTTGGGTACCTCCTTAGGATGAATATGGAATGTATTTATTGAAAATTAAATCAGTTTTCTTGTGCTTCAAGCAACACCCTTTTAAGTGGGAGTAAAGGAGAAAAATAATCTCCATACTTATTTACTGAATTACATTATATTTTTGTTTTATATATTTTAAAATAAATTTAAATCTATCAAACTCCTTCAGTATATTTTAAATAGTGTGTATGAAAAGTTTTGTAGACTGTTATATTTCCATCAAAACAGACCACTGATCCTTAGATAAGTATTTCCACACAACTAAAATAATGATGTAGCATATTGAGAGTAATAATTTTATAAATAGTATCTGAATTAATATTAGCAAAAGAATTTCTCATAAGGATAATTTTTTAATGCTTTATTCATTTATTAAGAAAAATATTTCCAGTGAGGTTGATTTTTTAATTTACAATAAATGAACAATAAGAGCAACAATAATGTTTTTATTTAATTTTGAAAAGAAAACTAGATATAATTTTAGGCAGCTGTAGTAAAATACATATTTGTATTGTTTTAAATCAATATTTTTAACAACTGTTAATTACTGTGAAAAAGAAACATAATCAACAGAACAATAAAAAACAAAACAAAAAAACCTAACTTGTAAAATGATTTGGTAATGTCTCCTCTCAACTGTAAGCCCAAGTTTGAGATAGGATAATTGAAAATATGTTTTCATTGACAAAACGAGTAATGGTTTTAAGAAAAGAAAATTCAGTTAATATGTTGGCATTTTTATCATTCAAAGAAAAAATTTATTTTCCAGTTTCTGAATTGTTGCAGAACTAATTAGTTTAAGTTGTTTTTTAACATGAAGTATTGATAAGCAACCCCTGACTCTTTGAAAATAATTAAAACAGTATAACTTTTCACTTAAATGTTTTTATAAAAAAAATAATATTATATAAGGATTAATAAATAAAAAAAGAAAAGAAAAGACTAATGTGTTAGTAGGTATCTATTTTCAATTGCAATCACCTTACATAAAACACCTTAATTCTAACACTTCAGTAATTTAAAAATATAAAATCTTTATTTACACAAACTTTATACAAAAATTGGAAATTAAGTACTGACAGATCTATAAACTTGTCATTACATAATGCTGAATATACATTTGCTCACAAAAAAGTAAATGCCTGCATCATGCATAACAAACAGATATACACTATAACGAAATTCGGCGTACTAATTCGTCACCGTATTATAGAAACCATAGTTTCAACAAGGGAAAAACTAGTTGTTTCTGAACTAAGTAAAGTGACTAGAAGTATGAGGTTACACAATTATTAATTCTTATTAATAATAAATCTATAAAAAAATAAACTGCTAATTACACTAGTAATAATATTCATCACAAGATTCTAGAGCAACTATAATAAAAAACATTAAACATAATTTGTACAGTTAAAATTAAACCTGTCGGCTCTTTAAATAATGTGTTGTCAACAATTAACATTATACATATATATTAACTAACATAAATTATAATAAATGCATGTTAGATATAATAATTAAATAATACTAATTATTACAATTAAAAAGGTTCATTTTGATTTTCTAAATGGTCAATAATACAAGCGACATTAGAAACATAAATAAATAAAAACAAAAAAGTTAATCACAATAAAAATAACAGAAATTTAAGAATAAATATATAATTATTTTCTCTTTATACATATATCAAAGTGTACAAAAATGTAAAAATACTTATAAAATATAATACTTTTCACGTTTCAAGAAAAAATATTTTGTTATTTTACTTGACTTATTTAATAGATCTAAGAGTGGCCCGATGCCTGACAGAATCGATAGAGTCTTTGGCTGCGCTGGCCGCTGTAGGCCTCATGAAGCTGAGACCGGACTTTTTGACCGTTCCATTAATGCTTTCACCACTACTGCTGCTCGCTGGTGGAGCACCAATGACCTGGTTTTCCTTGAAGCTGGTGCTGACACCAGAAGCTACCCTTGGCCTTCGTACCACAGGTCCTATACTACTTCCACTGGAGCTACTCCTACTGGCTGGGACAGTCGGTTTGCTGCTCCTTACTTGGCTTTGCCCAAGAGGTTTTTTCACCTCCTTTTTAAGTTCAGAGGTAAGATTTTTAATGGCTTTTGTATAACTTTTGATTTCAGGAATTGGACGGACATTTCGCACTGTGCTTACTGATGCTGCACTGTTCAATGAACTTCTTGAACTTCTTAAACTGCTCTTGGAACTGGAGCGTTCAACCTTCTTCTTGGGTAGAACACAATGAGGTGATTTGTTAGGAGCAGTGCTTTTGACAACCTTCTGGGGTTGCTTTAAAGGTGCAGAAGACTTTGGTGTTTGAATAATATTACTATCACTTTTTAAAACAGCAGGTTTTGAATTCTGTTTATTAGCCAGGGCTAAAATCCTTCTTTGAGCAGGAGTACTTTCAGTTTTTGCTAAAGGAGTTTTCTTATCTAAGATTTGCTGTCTTGTTAAACTGGACTGAGAATCAGATTTCCTTAAACTAGCAGACCGCCTTGGGATGACACTTTTCTTTTCAGAACTAGTAGGAGATCTCATTGAAGAGGTTCTTTTAAATTCCTTCATATTTACACCACTACTTGTATCTCCACTTCCACTGCTGTCAGCTCTAAGAAGTTTCTTTGACTCTGTCCTGGGCTTTGGAGCATCTACAAAGTCACCTTCAAAATTTCCAGAAGATGCTCCTTGGCTAGGTGTTTCAGAAACTAAACTCTGAGTTTCTTCAAATCCTTCATCATTTAAATCATGTTCATTTCGGCACTTTCCTGGGGTATTTACATGAATTTTAATTTCAGGAATGAAATCATTTTTAACAAATGGTGACTTACTATCTGAAATTTGTTGAGGAGTTGTATTATTCTTCAATGAAGGTCCTTCAGTCTTCAGGTTGCTTTGGGAGCTTTGTGAAAGAGGAGCTAACTTGTCGAAATCATCTTGATTAGAGCTAAACCTTTTAATTGCTTTGGCAACATCACTTTGATCTATGTTAGTTCTTCTTCGGTATGATCTAGGTAAAGTTGATGAAGCTGAGAGCCTATTTATGGCTTCACTTAGTTTACAATCATCTGATTTTGATTCTGATTGTTTCTCTGCTTCAGATGTCTCTTTCAACTGTTTCCCAATAGCCTCAAGGACATCCTTTGGGTCAACAGAAGTATTTCTCCTGAAGGACCGTGGTAAAGTTGCTGATGTGGACAACTTCTGTAGCTCCTCGCTAGATTTTTCGATGTTTGCTATAGCTTCTTCCTCTGGATCTATTTCAATCTTACTTTTCAGTTTATCTTGCCATTTTTTCAAACGTGATTCCTTATCTTTAGGAGATAGTTTTTCAACAGGTATAGATTGAGCTTGTTGAGTTTCAGGTTTTATCACTTGTGTTTCAGGTACTAATTCAGGTGATGTCACCTCTGGCCTCTTGGGCGTTTCTTCTTCGACTGGTTTCCTATACCTTAATGTTCTCCTGGAAGCTGCAAACCGATCAAACTGTCCATCTCCCAATGGGGATTCTTCTTCTTCTTTCACATCTTCATCTTTTAACATTCTAGAACAACGCTGATGGTCCCTAAGCACTTTGCGAGCAGCTGGAGGTGTTTCAATATTGTCAGAATCTATTTCTACTTTGTCGGAAATTTCAGGCTTTCGAGATCTCCTGGGTGCAAAAGGGGGTAAATTTTGTTCTTCAGGCGATCGATCAGCCATATCTGGAAATACCCTTCTGGCTAATAATGGACTCATTTTTCCGCCTTTGAATTTATTAAGGGTAATAGGTTGCTCGGGAGGCTGCTGCTGCTCAGTGGGACAACGAATATAAATGGGTAGGCTTTCCTCAGGTGACATGGATTCACCAAGGGTTCTTATTACTTCCTTCCTCTTCTCTTCTTCATTGATAGACTAAAAATAAAAAAAAAACAAATTATAATAATGAACTACGAAGCAAATTTTTTAATCTCATAGTGAACATATAAGAGATTTTTAAATTAATAAGTTACCTGAAGACTGGAAGGTGGCACAGCATCCATACTACCCCGAGATTTCAACCTTCTCAATCTTCGCACATCAAGATCAGTCTGTTCTGAAGTGTTAGGTACATTAAGGTTAGATTTTCTCCAAGGAGATTTATCTTTTACTGGAGACTGTGGTTGCACTTCTAAAATGAAACAATGTAAAAAAAATTAATAAAATTGAAACAAAGTTTATCAATAAAAGAGAATTTAAGCCAGTCATAACTAGAATGAATGCAAAAAAACATTATAAAAGTAAATAAAATATGTGACTACCTGTTCCTGGCTATCTTTAAAAAAGTAAAAAGAACAACTCTTTTTAAGCGAACTTTCATATTTTGGTTCCAAAATCACTGGTGAATCACAGTCATACCACCGACCGGTTAAGAACAAGCATTCCAAAAGTTATTATACAAAGCTATTGTTAATATACTGGCTTTATGATTACTAACCAGCTATAGCTTCCATTGCACCAACAACATCTGTTTTATCAATAGTTGGTTTCCAGTCAGAGTACACTCTCTTGTATTGCAAACTTCCATCTGCGAGCTTGCCTTCAGGTAATGTATCCAAGGTACCACTCCTTCCTTCGCTCTCTATAAAAAATAAATAAAAAATGTAACACATGAATAAAGGACAGTTTCGTCAATAGTAACTAATATTTACTTTAGTAAGGAAAAGTAAGAAAATCTCATTTTCAATACAAAATTCAATGATGGAAATATTAATAGTTTCATATTAATCATGGAGAAATACAGTTTTAAATTATGTTAAAGTTTTAACAACTGTATATTACAATTAAATTAAGAATATTAGCCATATTTTTTTTTTACCTCTCTATTTTCCTCTAATATTAATTCCGTGAATGGACTGTGTACTATATATGAGTAAATATTCCATGTATTTACATTATATGTATAAATCATAATACTTGAATCAAAATAATATGGTGTTTATTAAGCAATGGACTTATCATTTGATATTAAATTTGTTTTGAATCTAGCAGAGTTTCATAGAATTTAATAAAAAAAAAAAAAAAAAAAAAATACCTGCCTTGTAATGCTAAATACTTTAAAGAATTAAAATATTTAACATTACTTTATAAAATCCTATCACAGGCCACTATTATTATAAAAGTTAGTTTTACTTGTTTTGAACAATAAATGAGTAAAACTGAGAAGAAATCTCACCTGAATCAGCTTCGAGCGACCGCCTATTACCTTGGAATCGTCTCGGTCGTCTTCGTATCTCCTCGTTATGCTTGTCTTCTTTTTCGTTTTCGGATAACCATGCTTCAATTTTTTGCTTCCATGGTCTAATAGACAAAAAAGAAGATTAGTAAATCAATTAATAAATAAAATTACTCTATCATTTGGTACAAATGCAGAACTTTAAATATTAATAACTGCTAATACCAAGCAGTTTTCTTTCTTTTTCTTAAACAAATGATTGACTGCAAGATATTATCTTTAGCAGTAAGATTACTATCTTTTTCCATGTTACACTTCTGGTAATTATATTATTTAGTAGAAAAAATAAGACTAAAGTATTTCTAAATGTTTTTCTGTTAATGTAATCATCACTAGTTTTACAACTAACCACATACATTTTAATTTAAAGACCTAACTTATTTTTAATATTTATTATTTGTTCATTTAATTTATACTTTGTGAATCTTTAGTTATTAATCAACAGTAGATAATCATTAATACAAATATATCAAGTATTTAACTATCAGAAATAAATCTTTTCTATTGTAGATTTCTTTCTTAATGCAGCATTTTATTAAATTTAATTAAATTTGGGTTAGAAGATTGCCTACTATTCATGAGTTAAATCTAAGCTTTTTGATTATTTTAATTAAGTAAAATATATCATTGATACATACTTGGGTTTACATTCCTCATCGGGTGTTGTAGGTAGTGTTGATGGTGATGTTGGTCTTTCCCTTTCTCCAGAAAAGTCTGCGGTAAGCAGATCAGGCCTTTTCCTTCCTCCACCTCGAGCACGCCTGGCCCAGGACCGATCTGAAATAAAATGTATATCATTCTTGAGATCCTAATTTTTAAAGTATAAGCTTCTAGACTGATATGTATAATAATCTGGCAAGATTGCTCATTTTACTTATATACATTCTGCATGTATCAGCAACAGTTATTTAAAAATATACAAGACTAGCAATGGAGTTAAGCAGTTTTTAGCTACTGCTTACATCCAGAAGTATTATGAACAATCTAATTGTCTAAGTACTACATGGTCTAAACAAATATACATGCATGTATAAACATCTTCATATTCTTATCCCGACATTTTTCTTTTTTTTTTTATGCTTAAGAAGAAGTTTGTGATATACACCAATAAAGCAGTTCAAATTTTAAAATAAAATGCTCACCCAAACTACCCCAAGACTTTCTTTCCCTTGATCCATCATGTCCAGATGCTCGAAGGAAATCCATTAAGGTTGATTCATCTTCCTCAGAAGGTACTCTACTCCTCCTACGCCTCAGGCTACCAGTGGGTGTGATGTCTATGTTTTTAAATAAAATGACATTTTATACAGGATCTTTCAATTATATATATAATTTTATAATACTTTGTACTGTTATAAAAAGATATTTTTGTTTAAAACTTACCAGGTGAATACGTATCTTCACGCCCACTGCTGGGTGGCTGGTCACAAGAAAATGAACCAAGCCTTCTCCTAGAAAGAGCAGGAGATCCCATAATGGAGATGTCTTCCTCGGAGGTCATCATACCATTTCCAATCTTCCTTACCTATATTCCAGAGTAGTTTAAATAACTAAGACATTGTTTACAAATAAAAAATAAAAATAATAATAGTATTAATCTACTCTAAGACTTACTCTGTTGTCAGAGCCTTTTTGAGCAAAACCAGATCTTATGTCAGAGAGTAAGGAATCAACAATATTACATTCTGATTCTGAGCCATTTGATCCTTGTGTTCCCACTAAAAATCATTAAAAAAATCATTAGAATCTATGGTATAAATATATTTTACTTAATTATTTGTTGGTAAATGTTCTTACAGGTTTTTCTCTTTGCAGCGAGCTCTTCTCTCTGTTTCCTTCTGGCGGCAGCCTGTTCTTCTTGAACTCTTCTTCTCTCATTCTCAATAACAGCTTGCTTGAACTTATTACAAAACCCATGGAATATTTTGAAGCATTCCTCAAGTTTGAAGGCGCCAGGGTCTTCACAGAAGAATTCAGAGAGTGATTTCCGAACAGATTCAAGCTCTTCCATATCTTTCTTCAGCCCTGATACTTCCTGGTCGGCTATCTGTAAATAAATATGTAACATATTACTTTAGAACTTCCTATAAATAAAAGTGTTAAATTATTAACTATTGTACGGTTTTCTATTTACTTTGAGAAATTCAGCCATTTGGTCTTTAATTTCTTTCTCAGTAGTGGGCAAGTCTATTTGTTTGTGGACCACTTTTATTCTTGAGTCCAAGGCATTTATTTCATTGAGAAGCTGCTCAATAGTTGTCCTGAAATCATTTTTAGATATGTTAAAATGCCAAAGTTCGAATAATATTAGATTTAAAACTCACCTAACAATATCCAAATCGCATGCTTGTAATGAAGTTTCTAAATTAAGTATATATCATAAAATTCATGGTGTTGTTAGTAACATAATTTCTAGAAACTTACTTTGTAGCTTCTTCCAGTATCGCCATATCATCAGGGAAACGAAGAAGTTCTTTACGTTTCTTCTCAGCTTGCTGTTGACAAAACAAAAGAAATTATTACAGATTGCACTCAATATAATAAAATAAATTAAATAAAAATATGTTATTAACTATATTGATATTTTTTAATATTGTAAAAAATTAATAATTACCAATGCTACAAAGTGAATTAAGTTCATTCCAGGCTTGTTGGCTCTTATATCTGTGAGTTTCTGCAATGATGATAACTTTACGCCAGCAGCATTTCCAGCATATCCACCCTTAAAAAACGATTTTTTTATTAATAAAACATTTTTTATTTAACACTGTATTGAAAAGAAAATGTTATATTTTTTGCCAAAGACTCCTAGCTATCAATAAAATAATATACTTACAGAATTCAGGAAATTCCCGGCCACCACAACCATATACAAAACTTCTCTCAATGATTCATTCCTCATTAGATCTGTAATAAGTATTACCATATGTTTTAAATAACGCTTCTATTTCACAAAATTGCTGATTAATAATAAACTGTGTACATATATTAGTAAAAATTACCTTCACCAGCAACAATCATTGCATTAATGCTTGGCTCCAAATAACTCATGTTTGCAGCAAATTCTTCCTTCAGCAGCATACTCTCAATTCTTAGTTTATAACTGTTGTGAAAAAATAATTAAATAATTATTTAAACACATATAAATAATTAAATTCATCAGCAATGCTTCTATGAATAACACTTACTTAGGTACTTCAATCAGCTGGAGTAAAAATTTTTCAGCATTTCCTAATTTTGATTTGTCTCCATCAAAATTTCTCAACATCTCAAGTTCATCTAATTCTGGAAGAATCTTCAGAAGACCTTTCAACTTCTCTGCACCAATGTCATCGTGCTCACCATTTCTGATCAGTTGTATAATGTCTTCATTTGAACTATAGCGGAATATAGGATATATATAAATTAATCAAATCCAATTGGTGAAGATATAAACCATTTAAATTAAAAAATGTTAAGTTAAAAAAACCTTAATAAAAACAAGTAGCTATATAATTTTCTACAAATGGAGAACCACTTTGTACAAGTGGAAAACTTTAAACATCAACAACTTAAAATATAAAACAATATTTTTAAAAATTTTAATTTATTTTTCAATTTAAATAAATTGTAATACCTTCGGAATTGCTTCAGGAAAATATTCACATTCAAGCTCCTTTTGCCATCCAGTAAGGCTATCTGAAACAACAATTAAACATGAATTTAAATTAATTTATCAACTACCTACTGCCATATCCTGTATGGCAGCAATGCCTGGCAGGGAGAGAAAAAAACTATAATTAAAAAAAAAATGAAAAATAAAGAAAATTATACAATACCTCTGCAGCTTCTTTTTTCTTTGAATCAGAATGATCCCTGGAAGGTCTGGGGGAAGCAGTTAAGGGTGTCGAGGCAGGCGCTTGTTGACAAAACAGACCTTCCATTTCAGACCAATCCAAATCAGCCATTGGCGAACCTTGGTGATTTCTAGCGACAACGGACCAAATGTTGTGCTTACCAACAACCTATAAAATGTTTTAATTTAATAATATCAACATGTTATAGATATATTTGGAACAGTAATATGATTGAATTGAATACAAATAACAATTAATTGTATAAATAAGAAATTTTTATAAATAATGAGTACAAATTAAAAAATAAAATAAAAAAGAGATAGAAATTATTGGAATTTTCAAATAATATGCCATACAACAGTTATTGTTGTAACAAAATTATTGGAAGATCTCAAAAAAAGTATCACAAAAGGCTACAAGTAACTAATCAGACAATGTTTCATCAATATAGCCACCATAAGAATGTAGAAAAGAGGGAGCACATTTCATTTTAATAGTCAAGAAAAAACTGAATAACAATACGATACATGCTTGATTACTTTGGAATGATGCACTATCACTATTTTTTAAGTTCTAAGAAGGGATTATATCATATTTATAAAGTGAACTATTAGTGGTGAAGAAGTAAAAGTTCAATGAACAATTTTAGTTAAATAAGCTGTCACAACTACACAAGAATCAGGTCAAGAGTACCAGGACATATCAGTCATGTATAGTTCAGAAAAGGTTACCTTGTTATTTGGAATCTTGTTCCAGTTGATGGTCTTCATCTTGGTCTTGGGGGTGGGTGTCTCCTGCTGAGGCAGTAACTTGACATTGGCCGCCTCCTGAGGTTCGGGGCTGACAGAGGGCGCGGCGGGAGGCGGAGGCCGGAGCTGCGGCGGTGCCATGGGGGCCGGCGGCGGCGGTGGCGGAGCAGTCGGGGGCGGAGGCGGCGGCGGGACCGCGGGTGGGGGCGGCGGAGGCGGCGCTGCGGCGGCTGCGGTGGTGCTGAGGCTGGCCTTCCTGCTCCCCAGCTGGTGGCAGGCCAGCTGCTTCTGGCTGGGCGACCTCAGCAGTCGGGTCGCGTCCTCCCTCGACTCCAGCAGGGTAGCCCGGTGGACCAGCCGCTCCGCCGTGTCCCACACTATGTCACTTACTGGTTCCTTTGGGTCTATCCTCAGCAGATGTTGCAGGATACTCAGGAATGGTATCTCTTGCGGAGTGTCTGCAACCTAGGTGACATACAACATATAATCAAGAGTGAGAAAACAATAATCACTTATTATTAAAATAATTGGTTAATAAAATTATCCTATCAATAGTTATTCTTACATTCTTCTCAAGAATTGTTTATGTCATCTTCCTGATGATAGGCTTGGAGATGGACAATAAATTAACAGGTTAATGTTTTTGATTCCATGCTGTAATCCAGTTATAAGAATTTTATGTATTATATCAATAAGAATCCAATGATGGGGCATGATCCAATGGGGCATTTAATAAATGGTTTACGGTCTGCAAAACCACTACTATTGCCTGTTCAAATTGACAGAAAAACTTAACGAAACTTCCACAATCTAGGGAAAGTGGTTTGGAGAATTTAACGGGAGGCTAGGGCCCAGGGGTGCCCATCCTCCCTTAGGTTGATGGCACAAGAATCTACTCCCCCCCCCCCCCCCACCTACCAAGATATTTCGCATACCATATACAATTAGACTTGCTGCAGTCCGTTCCATATTTTCCCCTTGTCTTTTAGTCTAAAAATTCCAAACCCCTTAGAAATTCGCCTCGCTCAAAAATTAAAAAAACTGTCAAAATATGCTCCCCTCAAAAAATTATTTTTAAAAAAAGCGCTATGAAACCCCATTCTGGATATCCCTGCTTGCGTCGTCTATCTATCTCTTTAAAATAAGGTTCTGATATGCATTTAGAACTATTCTGCTCTATGCATTGACATTATCAATGACTGGTGGAATTACGTAGGTCACAACGGTAATGTTCTGCTGGCTATGCTCGCTCAAAGGTGAACGAACCCTCAAAACTTTCTAAAAAATGTACATTGATTTCGGACTTTAAGAGAAGAATGACATTGCAGTGCTCACATTTCTCACTTGCAATAATTCCACATTCATAAGCAATATTAATATCTTCACAGACTTGGTCAAGCTCAAACTTTAAATTAATTTTTTTTCAAATTAATTCAAGGCTAAATTAATTTTTATGAATAATTAAATTTAAAGAGTAATAGCTCACCCTGTTGAGAATGGCATAGAATACTTCTAGGTGGGAGTTGAGATCAACCCCCTGGTTTGCGTTCTGAGCTTCGTCGTTCTCCCGCTGCTCGTCAAACACGTCCAGCTGAACGGCCAAATCCTGGCACGTCTTACCGCTACGCCTGTAAAAAATAAAAAAATGATACATTAATTAATATAACAGTTAATCATGAGGAGGGGTTTAGTGTTACCAATATAAACAATGTTATCCTGAACATGATTAAAAAATGTCTGCCCAAAATGACTAAAAGGTATATGAAAATGCAGAATAATGAATCAGATCTGCTATAAATTATTCTCCAGAGAATCTTTAATTAGGTAGTAGTAATTTATTGAAAGAGAAGCGCTGGGATCCCATGGAGTCAAGTTTTAACCTTCTCTCATATATGGTATATTTACTCTGAAACCAGTAGGAGACGATTTCATTCTCTTTTCCTGACATCAAGATGAATGCTGCGTCACGTTTGTGACCAATACATCCGGTGTTTTATGACTGCGTGAAATCATTATTTATCAATGAAACCGGCAGAAGATAATATCTAACATCAATGAACAAATAAGCATCATGTCTAGGATTTATAGCTACAATTATCATTTTTAGTGATAACGGTTACGACGAAGGTAAACATTAAACCGTTATCTGTAGAATTGTAAAATAAGTTCTTCCAAATTGAGTCTAAACAAGACAAAAAAAAATCATACGCCAAGGGCAATATCTTTAACGACCATTTAGTTGTTTGCCTTGTCTTTATCGAATTGTTAATCCTTTTAAAAGCTGTATTACACAAAACCCTCTCCTGTGGATCATTTCTTAAATGCTAACTACAAATAAACTAATTTTAAGAAGCAAATTGAACGGAAACAACTTATGATAATGAACATTAATGGAAGGTAAAATTACGCAATCTACTCTAAGTATCATATAACAGGATATATCCTTTTTATGGGTATCAGGAGCGATGGATTTTGATGAGTGAGGTATCAAACCAAAAGAAATTTAATGGGGAAGTGACGAATCCCAATTTCGATTGTTATATACCTACTAAAACTTTAATAAAAGTCTGATATGACCGGTAAGTCGAAGGACCGTGACGAGACAAAGTTCATTCTAATGATACCGACTAAGTAGTCGATGAAATAAAGATAGTGATATTTATCATGAAAAATATATTAAGATAAAAATATTTAATGTAGATAGAATCCAACCACAAATAAAAAGGAAGTTGTATTATTTATACGACAAAGTAGACGACAGAATACTACAGACGATTCTCTTCCCAAAACTCTATTACCTTCCGATGAATGTGGATTTGAGGAGATGAGACAAGAATTCTCTTTCCAGGGAGGACGGACTGCGGCGATTTGGCTGGACTTCAAGAATCCCATGACTCCAGGCTATCTTTCTCACAGCCCGCAGTTTTCCGTCTCCTTTCTCTGTCTTCCAGTTCTTAATTCTCGAAACACAGGTGCGTATTATGGAGTGGAAAAATGTCACAGGTTTGCGTTGAATCAAAAGATGGAACACATAAGACGGAAGACGACTCAAGTACTTCTTTTATATTCCTTCTCGTAAGAACTGCTTCTTTAAAAATGCTTTCCAATGTGAGCTACATTGTTTTGAAATTCCTCACCCACCTCCGTAAACAAAACCTTATCTTTAACTTCAATTAAACATCAATTATTATACCATTTCCTCAGCAAGCAATTTCTGAATATTTATAAGATTCAATTTTTTTGTATTTTTCGCGGTCTTAGCTTTATTTTGCTGTTGTATCACAGAGATATATTTTTTTGTATAGCTTATCAGTGCAAATATTTAAAAAAAAAAACTGATATTTATGTATCTATTATTTTATTTGTGTAATTATGCTTTACCTATATTATAATTTTAAGGATGTAATAAATCTATAATCTAACTATATCATGACATTGTATGCCAGAAAAAATGACACTTCTATTGCCTATTATTATTATTATTAGGGGACTAAATGTCACAGAGTAAAATTTACTTTTCTTCTTCTTCGTCTACTATAAGTTGGTTTGACATTAAGTCCTTCAAAAGGAATTATTCAACCAAGTAAAATTGTTTTTTACTTAATTTATAAAACCATTACGAAGAAAATGCAATCAATACATTAGTTAATTAATTAGTCGACATTACTTCATTAAAAACTATATATATATACATATATATATATATATATATATATTATATTATATTATAATATATATATATATATATATATATATATATATGTATATATATATATATTTAAAAAATACAAAAAGAAGATTCGCATTAAGTTTCTATAAGGATAATAGACTTTTTTTTAAAAATATATATTACAAAACAGCTGTTTTGGTTCTTGAAAGTATTAAAAGATCTTGTATTATTTTATTTAAATAAATGTTTTAGATATAGAATCCTTTGAAAAAGAACTTCTTCATTGAAAAGGAAATTTTATTTTAGAATAATTCTATATTTAGCAAGATACTCTTTAAGGTATCTCTAGAGCAAGTTTTTTTTTTTTTTTTTTTTTTTTCCTTCCAAACCAGTAGACCCTGGCCGACTCGCGGTCACGAAAACATCGTAATTTATCCGTTGGCATTAAAAAAAAAAATTGGTTTTGGGAATAAGCGTCGTCCGAGAACCAGATTATGGAATAACTGTCACCAAGCTTAGAGTAGGCGATCAAGACAAATGTATAAATGGAATGAGGTAGAATAAGCAAATATATAACATTAAAAAATCAGATAAACCTAAAAATTAAAAAAACTGTTAATTGAAATAAAATATAAAAATTGAACTTAACGAATCAAAATTTTCGATGTCAAATAACAAAGGAACGCGTTGAATTATTATTAAAATTTATGCTTAATTTTAAAAATAATGAACGATGATTTTTAACTGGTTATATTTACTATTATTGTATGAGGGTAAAACCAATATTTTTTTTTTTATTAATGATATCATCCATGCATACTACTTTTTAAACTTAACGACCTGCTTAGAGATAAACTTAAGGCTTTTAATAGTAAATACTAATACAACCCAACAGCAATCATACTTGTTTTTTTTATTTTAAGTTTTACTTCCACTTTAGGTATTTAATTATTTTCTCCCATAAAACAATGACCATATAAACTTCCTTGGAAAAAAATTCCAACTCAGCTCTTAAACTCGCGGTTGTGTTTCTTCAATTAGCAAGACTGTATAAATCGAATCTATCTCAAGAGAAAACAAATTATCACTAATAGTTAAAAATTAGAATACAGGTTATATAAATAACATGGTCCCGAACGTAATTGAGTTTCTCAAACTAGGGGAGGAAATTGCGTAGTTTTTTTTTTTCATTCACTGTTTGCTTTTCACTTTAACTAGTAATTTTCTAGATCTAATCGAATGGTACCAACGAATGAACCAGTTTATCCGAGGCCCGACCGTACTGTGCAAGCTAATGTGCAAAAAGAACATTTATTTTAATTTATTGTTTTCAATAATTTATTATGTGAACGATCAAGATAAAATATCTCAAATTAGGAGATTCGTTTTTCAAAATAAGTATGATTAAAAATAAAGTTGAAGAAAATAAAATTTTTTATAACATTTTTCATCGAATTCAATGATTTATAAAGAATCATCGGAGCTCGTTATTATCATCCATCATTTCGTTTCAAAATGGCGGCCGATCAGAGGTTTCGTACATTCATATCTCGGCTAATTAGGATGATGTGTTAGTATTTTAAGAAATAATACCTGTTATGGAATCATTATGGATAAAAATCACTATCTAACCACCCATAGGTAAAGACATAGTATGTCTACGTCATGAATAATTTTTGAATGACTGAACGATTATATTGTTTTTTTTTTATAATGAAATCCATCGAATTTTATTATAATCTTTTATTATACTCGAGTTTTATTATAACATATTATAATCTACCGCTGGTGGGCTGTAAAAAATTAGTAAAAACTGTAGATAAGAGATATATAAATTTTCAATCTTCCCGATCAAATAGTGATAAATTAAAAAAATAAAAATAAAGATATTGTATAAAAATAAATTCTTTAAAATCTTAGCATTTTTCATGATACATTATTACGAAAAAGAAGGTCAAATAATTTCATCATATCAATAAAAAAAAAAAAATTGAAAAAATGCATGTAACAAAAATATATACAATACCTATGATATGAATTACCACGCACATGAATTAGTTATCATATTCAATTTAATCTTAGTCGAGAAAATAATTCAGGCTGAGAACTCAGATAGATAAATTTAAGTAAAAAATAATAAATTAAATTTGTAAAAAAAAAACAGAGATATAAAATAACAAAAGTTTTATTTTCTCAAGAGAGTCAATCTGAACCTAGTTGAAATTATACAGTTCATCAACAGACCAAAACAAAAAATAAACTTGGAAATATGACTACTGATATTTTCATTGATATGAGACCCTTTTTTTTTTTTTTTTTTTTTGTTCTTCCCTACCTCGCCTTTTAGGCTATACGGGATTTTCCCGGGCCGGGGGGTGAGGGCGGGGAATTTAAAATCCCCTCCGGCACCGGGACGCGAACTCGTACTTTTTATATCATCTCAAATCTCTGTTATCCGGTTGCCAGGCAACTAGCGGTGCTGTTACACACACGCTTTAGCCTATTCGGCCACCCCGCCCCCAATTGATATGAGACCTTTAAATGCAATTGATTCCAGGTTTGTACAGACTTTTAGAAATACTTTGCCTTTTTGACAACAAACCCTCTACTTCTCTCATTCTCCCACACATCATTAACGTTATCGAAAACAATTCAATAGTTTGGTACAAGAGCTCCTCAGAAATAGGAGACTGTAACATAAAAAAAAATTGGATGAACTTAAATATCCAAAAGATGTAAACCCAGTGAGATCCTAATACATTTTTCATACTCGCTCTACTTTAGGTACGAATCCGGAAGTAAAATCGCCTAATTTTATTAAATAAATTATTTAATTTTGAGAAAAACAGTGTATCAACTCTATCCATACGATTTAAAAACTAATTGAGGAAATCGCATTAATAAAAAAAGTGGATGAGCCAGACGGTTGTATGAGATGTGAACCATTCTGAGCACCATATCAATGATAAAGACATTTCGCCCAATGGGAACGGTTCAACTAAATATAGCAGGGCTAACAGATAAGAGGCAGGATATTATTAACGGTCGTAAAAC